TTTTTAATTAAATTAAAGTTAGATGAAACAATTATTTAACTGAAGAACAAATAACTTTGTAATAATTTATTATGCGATTTTATAATTTTTGTTTATTTGATAAGGTTGAATAAACAATTGGGGCTATTTTAATAGTTTTATAACTTATGAGATTTTTATGTTTATGAGAAAATATACAACACAAAAATTTCATATCGCATGTCCAAACAAACCTTCAATTTCATCTCATGATTCCATATCATGATACTATATCATGATTTCATATCATGATACCATATCGCATGGCCAAACGGGCCCTAAGTCTTTTAACTTTATAATACCAAATGATATAAACATGGGAGTATTATTGATCAGTTGCTCTTCTCCATGACTAAACAGCTATGAATTAACAAAAACCCAATCAGACAAAAGACAAATGTGTGTTTGTCCAATAATATTTTAGTGGCTCCACCTTTTGAATTGTTCATTTTTTAAATATTTTTTTTCCAATTCGTCCTTATAAATAAGCCATTTGAAGAAAAAAAATAAAAATTATATTGAGAAGATTGATGTGTAACATCGGGATTGAGGAATTAAAATTTTAGAAGAAAGTTGCATGATTGCATGCCACTTTAAGTTGTTGTGCAAATCTAATAAAGTGAGTGTGAGGAACTAAAATAAGTGGACTTTGTGATCCTTTTTTCACCTGAATCAAGGAACTACAAAAGGATCCAATGCAAAAATATGTTAAGTCTACTTTGATTTTCTTTGCCGTATTAATGAGATGCGTAGTCTTCTTTTAAGTCTTGAATAATATTTCTTCCCTTTGTGCTAGTTTTTGGAACATGAAGACATAGAATTTGGCACAACACCTAATTTATATTTGTGATATAAAAACATTATTGATCATACTTTATGTCGTCTGTACTGTGTGCTTGGGATTTATGTCAATTCATTTTGATTGAGTCACATCATTTGAGCCCAAAAAACTTTTAGAAAAAGAAAGTGAAATGAGAAGGGAAATTAAAGCATAATAGAGGAGACAAGTCGATCGAGAGAAGGTTTAATTAGACCTCCAATTTATTAGAGCATTAGAAAATTCACAAGTGATAATAATTGAAGACAGACATTTGATGTTTGTCCACAGCCTGGAAAGTTTCATAGTGCCTCCACTCATCTCTTATTTTTCCTTTTTTTTTCTTCTAAACTTCTTCTCCCTTCTTTTTCTGGTTAGACAGTTTTTTACTCCCTCTGTCTCAATTTATGTGACACATTTCGCTTTTCGAGAGTCAAACAATTTAAGTTTGACCGAGAATTTGCTCATGGAATCTTCAATTTTAAAAAAATGAAATTTATATATTTGTAAACTACATAAAAAGTAGTACTATAAGTCTCAATAATTGATAATTCAAAATAATTAAAAGATATATGAAAAAATTACGGTCAAAGATAGACTTGTTTGAATCTCAAAATTCGAAATGTGTCACATAAATTGGGACAGAGGGAGTATTTTTTTCCTTTTTGCCCTTTATTTAATGTTGAACCAATAACACCTTGTGTTGGATGGTTGTTACTCGTTTTATTGTATTGTATTATATTGTATTGTTAGTTTAATTACAATGTTAGTTTTAATTGTTACTTAAATTCTATTGTATTGTATCGTTTAAATCTATTGTTAGGTAACGACGAAAATTAAATGCCTATTTCATGTAAGGATCAATTTGGGGTGTGGTTGCATCGTTACCTTAATATTTCTTTTCATTTTATCTTTATTTATTATTTACTAATAATCATATTTCATTTTTTATCATACCTTTTTATAGTAGCTTTACTCTCTACCCTATTTTTCTTGTAGGTTTATCATTCAAATTATGGATGTGTGATATTATGTAACGATGGAGAACGATGCAATCTATCCAAACACTATATTCATTAAAACAATACAGTACGATACAATACAACATAATACAATACAATATGATAGGGGCGTCTAGAGGGGGTGTCATGGGTTCACGTGAACCCATGCTCCCCTCTCTAGATCATATATAGTAGTGTTATATTTTTTTAAAATATTTAAAATATAGATGTGTGAACCCACGTTCAAGTATCATATAATAATACGATGATGATTGGGTGCACCTCTCTAAGTGAGGATAAATATTTAAATCTTATATCTATCTTGTCTATTTAAGTAACACCTCTCCAAGTGCTTATCAGTTACACTTTTGGCGTTTCAACTAATTTTTCTTTTATTTTTTTCTTTAATCTTTCAAAAATTTAAAGTGTGTTACATTGAAAATTCCTAAAAAAATTAGCACCGCAAATTTTTTATATAATTAAATCAAATGTGTTTATTAAAATTTAAAACTAGTAGTATTATATATCTTGGACCTATAATTTTTAAAATTTAACGGTTCATATTAAGAACCTAAAAGTCAAACCGACCAAATTTATATTTAAAATGTATTTTTTCGTAATCGTGATGCACCCATCTTACCAAAATCCTAGATACACCTCTGAATATGATACATTATGAAACAATACGTAACAACCATCCAAACAAAGTGTAAATGGTTTAAGCAAAAACATTTTTCTTTTCGTCCTTCGGAATTATCCAAAAGGCTAAAACAAAGGGTTGATAACTAATAAAAAACGATAAATGATCGTTCGGTTCACATACTATAAGTATGCGAGGATGAAGGATCATTTTTGTGCATTTTACAATTGCGATTTATATATATGATCGAGATCATTTTAAAATTGAGACATAGTTATTATTGTTGATTAATTTTTAGAAATTGCACGAGTCAATTTATCACTAACAATTACGTTGACCTACAATATTTTTGTAACACCTATAGAAACCACAAAAGAAAATTTCACAAGAAAAAAAATCATAAGAGAAGGATTGAGATGCAGCGCAGTAATAACCTAAAACCGATCAAACTCCATATTGGTGCTAAGGTTACACAAAAAGGACCATATATTTTATTTGTTATTGTGTCATTTTCAGTTTTGCAGCCTCTTATAAAAAGAAGATATATAATGCTTGATTTGGCCTTTATAGTTTATTATTTATAAATAATGTAAAATGGATTGATATAGACATACCGTTCAGTGTGTATTATTATTACTTGTATAGTTGTTCAAAAGCAAAAATGATTTTTTTGTTAGTTGTAAAGTTGGTTATAGTGTAATAAGCCAATTAATCATCACGTGAAAAACTTCATTCAACAAATAATTAATATATTCGTTTCATATATCTGTCCAAAGATTTGGAATAATCCAACTTTGATGTGATTCCATTAACCCCTCAATTGCATTAAGTTTGAAGCCTTTTATTTTATTTTTGATTTAAAGATTCCAAAAAAAAAAAAAAGAGTTATAAGAAGTCCACCAAATTGAAACTAATTAAATTGACACATGTGCAATCATGAAGGGACCTCGTAGAATCTTGGGTCCAAATTGTACTCATTATAGTTGTAAACCTAACTATTATGTATGATCGAAGTGTAATGTTGGACCATGATGGTCTAAGATAAAATATATACAATTTAGTAATTAAATTACCGTGAATCTAGTGTATGTTGAGAATTCGAATGTATAATCACAATTTTCTCAGATGTATGATAATCAACATGTACATATAACTCACACCTAAATACAATGAATCAAAAGAGTTTCTACAATTATTTTTCGACAAATACATTCGTTATATGACTCGTTTCTCGATAGAGGTCAGAATATAAGACATTAACGATACGACAACAGAATTAACTTGGACACAATCTCTTCTATTTGAATTACTTTCTCGTGTGATATATGATCATCAATAATTTTAGTTAGTGGTGGTCTACATCATTCCCTCATTTGAGTAAAATCCAGTTTTGATTGATATTCTGCTTTGGTTCTTCTGTGAACAGATTCCTCAATTGCCACTCCATTTTCTTAAAGTTCACTCTTTATTGCTTCTTTTGCTGAGCCTCTCATGATTCACTTTCTAACTTTACACTCACATCGTCAAAGGTCCTTTTGGACAATCCACTCTCCAATAACCTTTACTTTATTTCAAATTTTAGCAATACAATTCTTTACTAACACAAATGTACTAGTAATAACTTACATACTAAGCAAAACCCAAAAATTTAGATATAATGTATCTACACCCTCCTATAGATTTTATGGTTGCAATTTTCATCTACATATGATCAAATTGAGTTGTAAAAGACATTTCAATATATCCCGAACTAGCTAGGATTATTATGGAATATGACATGACTCCTCATTATCTGTATTTCCAATATAGACTTAACTTTGTACAAAATTTAAGAAAAAAAATGAATACTTCTAAAATTTGTCGTCATATATCAAAATATTTATAGCTACTTGTGTGTTGATGAGAGAGTTAGTAGCCTAGTAGATTTTCCATGAAACTAGTTAAGTTATACGTTCACAAGGTATCCACCACACCTCCCATTAGCACTATACTACGTGACAATTTGTCCGCTAAAAGTTGAACAATTGAAAACTCGAATCATCTAAATTTTTTCCCTTACATTAAAATTTAAACTTGAGAGTCCTCATGTTTCCCAAACTATTTTATTAATCACAAACTACACCCTTGCGTGTTATAACTAGCTCAAACACTAGCACCACAATTATAAAAAAAAAATTGTATGACCCACCCATTTTCCGAAGAATAATCAAAATTATATGGACAAGAATACCCTTGGTTGCGCGTTCGGTGTTAGAGTAAGAAAGTAAAACGTGTCGGTGGGTCTATCTTTTTGAACATGAAGGCTCCTCACATCACTTTAATTTTTTACACCTTACTCCACTCCACTCTACTATATTTATATTTTATTTAACACCTTTCTTAATGCCTCTTAAAAGATTAGAGCATTTTCTATAGCTTCATTTACAAGTGAACCCTCTCCTTTCCCCTTTCCATCTCTATTTCCACTAACACTATTGTCTCAACTCACTCTTCTCTAAGCCAATTTGATCAAAATCTTGAGAAAATGGGAGTGAAGTTAGCTTTTTCGATCTTTATAGTGACTATGATGATAACGAGTATGGAAAATGAGGGTAATTTGGTAAATGCTAATGGAACGACTTGGGCAGGTTCAAAGTATCAGATTGAATGTACAATGTGCGCCGCATGTGACAACCCTTGCGCCACTCCATCTCCGCCGCCACCTCAGCCGCCGTCGCCTCCTCCGCCGTCTCCTCCACCGCCTTCTACCTCTTATAATTGTCCTCCTCCACCTTCTCCCCCTAGTTCCGGGGGAAATTACTACTACTACTCTCCACCGCCACCACCGCCTTCTTCCTTTGGCGGTGGCGGCGGCGGCGGCGGCGGAGGGAACTACTACTATTCACCACCTCCACCTTACCAAAATTACCCTTCTGGACCTACTCCTCCACCTCCAAATCCAATTGTTCCGTATTTCCCGTTCTACTTTTATAATCCTCCACCGCCTTCACAATCTGCTGCTTTTAAGCTCACTGTATTTTCACCCAAATCTTCTATTTTCGTTACGGTGTTCATTGCGTTGTTGATTTTCCATTGAAATTAATGGGGGGAAAATGTGAAATTAAATAAAGTGTCGGAATCACACAGATCTACAAATGAGGGCAAAGATTTTGAAGAAAAATGGAATGCTGAAGTGAATTTGTCTTGTTTCTCTCATCTCCTGGTAATCTGTAAAATTCGTGACCATTCTTCTTATTATGCTCCTGTAATTTTTTCTATTAGTTTAACTTAATTCATCATATTCGTATAGAATGTAACAAAACTTTAGTCAATTTTGTAACAATTGTGAAGTCAACTTCTCATTCACATTCTATATTTTCATTGCAATTTAATTGATTTTTCCTCATCATCATGCAACACTTAATTACTCAATCTTCTGATGCATAACTCATATACTCCCTGTGTATAGAATTGATTTATTTTAATTTAAACTCGAAATTTAAGATTTTTTTATTTTTTTTGAATTAAGGGTGTGTGTTAATATTTTATTTTTAGAAAGACTGAAAAAGGTACTTGTCTCTTTCCGTTTTAAAACTATTCTAAATGAATCTTACGTTACATTATTTGACACTATTTAATATTATTTCCATTTTTATTTTTATTAGGTTCCACTAAAAATAATTTTAATAAAGACAATAACTATAATAAAGTATTTCTTTATTTTTTAAGCTCTAGTCAAATAACGTCGACAGAGTTATAATAAATTAAAAGGGAGGTAGTATTTTGATTTTCATGTACCACCTAAGAAGAAAATAAGTGTTCCGGCCCGTTGCCATTAAGGTAACAACCACCAAATTGACAAGGGTTTTATTGACAGTTGAAATTAAATAAAGGAAGAAATTATACTGTTAAATAAGTATTTTGATAAAGGAAAATTAAAAAAATTATCTAAAAAATTTTAATTAAGAAAAAAGTATTTCTTGTGTTTGAATATAATTATTTTAAGCTATTTTCTCCGTTCATATAATTATTTAGGAAAGCATGAAACGACGTTAAATGAGATACGAGAACAAATCTTTCCGCATGGCCATTGCAAAGAAAAGGAAGATTCTGGAAAACTACAACATGTTTATACACGTTCCTCTCTGCTACTTGTCGATATCAACATGCTTTTAGACGTTCTCGATTTATATGACATATATTTTTTTTTGACAAATTTTAAAATAATAAGAGCTTCGTTTACCTCATTTAACATGTAGCATGTTTAGCATGGTTCTGTTAAATCACATTATAAAAAAATAGTTCAAATTAAATAAGTATAACATCATATATATCAGTTTTATATGAAAATTGTTCGGATGATAAGCATCCAAATTCCTAAGAAGGGTAAGAAAACCAGGCAGTAGCATAAGGTGATAAAAAAAAAAAAAACAAATTAAAAAGGCAAAAACTTTCTTTGCCAAAATAATAGAGCATATAATATAGGCAAAAGGGTATGGTGGACCTTATATTTGTATGTGTTTGTATTATGGATCTTTCTACTTAACCCTTTACCAACTAAACCTCTAAACTCAATTAAAAAATGATTGTTAAACCCTTCTTACCATGTCTATTGCTCACTCTCCCTTGAATAGATGACATGCCAAATCCATGTCACTTAAATTAATACCACGTCATAATTATATGTATTAACTATTATTAAAAATTATTAATTTATCTTTAATGTAAATTTTGGGTCTCCACTCGTCTTCTACCCGATCCAGCCATGAAATGGCCAAAATTCGCCGGAGATAGTTGCCACAGCCACCACTCCTCTTGTCGGCGAGACCACACAAATACTTTCTCCCTCACACGTCTCTATTCGTCGATCACCTTCTACATTTTCCTTTCATTCTTCTCCAACCTCCATAAATCTAAGCTGCCGCACCACAACTTCGGTGGCCAAACCTCTTCACCCGGTGTGACTAGCTCCTCGCCGCTCACCCGCCTCGTTCTCCCCTTCATTGTCTTTCTTTCTCTGCACCATCAGTGATCCCCGCAAAACACCAAGGACCGCCTATCATCGCCGCCTCTCTCGAATCAGAAGGAGACTCCTTGCCGCCTTTGTCGAACCAGCATGCCATAGGACTCCTTGCCGCCTCCAGCGTATGGATTGTCAGAAGAAAATGAAAAAAAAAAGTTGAGTAGGGATGGGGATGCCTGAAAAAGTAGGTGGGTGGGGTGAAGAAGAAGGTTTTTCAATTTTTATTTTATTTTTATATTAATTATTTTATTCTTTTATAATTTTAATATTTTTTAATTTTAAATATGGTGTACATTTGCCTTAACACGCGTGTATTTATGCTCTCTAGCCAACTCAGCCATCTTAATGCCACATAAGCATGGTCAATGGTCAGAGAGATTTAATATATTGAATATTATTGAGTTGAATGGTCCAGTTGATAACAAGTTAAGTAGAAGGGTCTATAAAACAAACGTATACAAGTATAAGGGTCGATTAGACCCTTTTGCCTATAATATATACTCCCTCCGTTTCAAAAAGATTGATTTGGTTTGACTTGACACGAAGTTTAAGAAATTAAAGAAGACTTTTGGATCTTGTGGTCCTAAATTAAAGTTATGTCAAATGTACAAAATTGCCCTTAATCTTGTGGTCTTAAACATGCCACGTGAAAAACAAAAAGTAAAATGTTACCAAAAAAGGAAAGAGGTCATTTTTTTGAAACTGACTAAAAAAGAAAGGAGGTCATTCTTTGTGAAACGGAGGGAGTACTTCCTTTGTCTCATTTTATGTGACAACATTTGACCGGACACGGAGTTTAAGAAATAAATGAAAACTTTGAAATGTTTACCAAATTGCCCTTTAAAAAAATAGACTCACTTTTCTCTCTCCTCATAAATGTATTGGAGTATTATTTTAAGATTAAGTGGGACCAATAATGGTGAAAAAGGAATTGTACCTTTAAATACTTACCATATTAGAAAATGTGATATTTTTTTTGAGACTCACCAAAAAAGAAATGATGTCACATAAAATGGGACGGAGGAAGTATTATTATAGTTGAATAAAATGTTATGTTGAGTGAGGTAATAAGATGAGCCGCCACCCTTAAAGATGGAGTGAGCAGAAAATGTCAGAAGAAAGAAGTTGCTATTAATTTCTATCTACTCGCACGATGTTAAGGTTGGATCACCTTTTATTGTGTTTCACGTTCCAAATTTACAGCCCACTTTATCTATTCCAATTCACATTTACTTGTGCTCCATTAATGTTCCATTTTTTTAAAAATCAGTTTATGATAAAGTATTTATATTAATAATTATTTTTTAAAAAACGTGTCAATTGTAAAATAAATAAATAAAAGCTTGTTTATATGGCTTGGTTTATCAATGTTGTTTTAGTTTTATGACTCGTTTCATATTGCATTAATAGAGGCTAAAATATATAAAGAGACTTTTAAATTTGGTTTTAGTTGATAGATAAGCATTTCAACTTTTAGAATGCACATTTAGACACTTTAATTTAGTCTCAACTGGTCACTCAACACTTCAACTCATACACTCTTTATCTCATGGACATCCGACATTGAGTGACACATAAAATTTGAAAATGTTTAAATGATGATTTGTGAGTAACTGACACAATGAAGATAACTTGAGATGTCTAAATGTGTATATTCAAAGTTGGAATGTTTACTCGTATGGTCAAATTTAAGTGTGTGTTTATATATATATTATGCCATTACTAAAATATAACGCATGAAATTGATGAACAAGGTACAAAAGATATTTGTAAAATCATTTCTCTTGTATTTGAACCGATTAAAAATGGATTTATCTCACCTAATAGTCCCTCTGTCCCAAATTACTTATTCATTTTTGAATTGACACACCTATTAAGAAAAATAATTATTGATATAGTAAGTTTACCATTTTACCCATATTAATTATGAATTAGATGGATTAAAAACTTAAGATTTTCAAAAAGTTCTACCTTTTTCAAAGTAATTAATTGAGGGTATAATAGATACAAAAAATTGTTCTTTCTTGATTTGTCAAAATAAACAAGTAATTAAGAACAACTATAAAAGAAAAAGTGGACAAGTAATTAGTGACATAGTGAAGTCTTTAACGTTATTTATAACAAGCCCAACGAAATAAATAGTATATGAAATAGTTAATAAATGTGTGTGAGTTTGAGTATGTGGGAAAAGGAGGAGATAGGGGTTAATAATTGAGGGACAAGGACGAAATAAATGAAGGCATGGATGGTTGATGAGCTGGATGCCATGTTTATTGCGGTCCCAAAAAAACACTACTTTGTACAAAGGGGCTTCACAACTCACAAGGCAAGGTGTACAAAATCGAAAATTGAAAATCGAATCAAACTATAAATCGAGTTAAATAGAAAAAAAAATTGATTAGTAGTTTGGTATTGAAAAAAAACCCCGACTATATTTGGGTTGATTTGGTTTTAACTAAAAAAACCAATCTGAGACCAAATCAACCCGACATTATATATATATATATATATATAATTTTAAAATTTTATTTTATACATAAAAATATTTACTTTGATATAATTTTTAATATTTCTTATACTTTTCATAGTTTTTATCTTTTAATATATTATTTCAAGTTTGAAACTTAAAATTCTGAATGGTCAAATAAAGATTATAGTCCACATATGTTGGTAATTATAATAAAGCTTAAATCAAGATCAAATTAATACTAATACAAAAAGAAAATCAATTCAACACTAAGAATGACAATAATATTGAATATTTGTTCTTTAGTTTTACATTGATTTAGACAATTAAAATAATAATCTAATTTTAATTTCCTTTAATATTTAGTCATGTAACTAATACTTATTAAACTTAGTTTAGCATGATTTAGTACTTTTAAATTATGATCATTTTCATTATGACTTCTTAATTTGCAATAATTGTTTTACACGATTTCATTTTTTTTGTTGGATATTTTAGTGTCATTAATCATATCATATTTTGTGTTTTTTTTTTTAAATTAAGAAACACCTTAGATAATTGTATTTTGGTAGGACTAAAGAAATATTTGAAGTATAAGTAAATTATATGTTTGCATGAATACTTTACCGGAAAAACCCGAAATAACCCGAAAATTCGAAAAAACCAGAAAAAATCCAAAAAACCCAAGGTTGAAAAACCCGACTTTTATTGGTTTAGTTTGGTTTATAAATTTAAAAATTCGACACGCATGGTTTGGTTTGATA